GGTGCCAGTTAAAATCAAACAGTCCTGACCCCAGTGACAACCATCCTGCTGATGCACTTCTACCACCAAGGAACAAAATTTCGCGATCTGATGGAGGGCTGTATGTTCAAGATTAAGAAACAAGTTCTCCATCTTGTCCTCATCCGAAGTGCCTGCCAGAAGGGGATCAATAAGTTTAGCACGAGCCTCTTCAAATAACGGGCATCTCAGGAACACGTGTTCCTGGGATTCGATCTCCCCCAATGCACATAAGCATAGCCTCTCCGATCGGGGAATTTTTTTTAAATTTACCCTCAAGAACTGCAGAGGGTAAGGCCGAGCATCTAGCCAGTGTATATGCCCTCCTGAGTTTACGGGACTCCAAAACTTTAAGATATGGGGCCTGCACAACGATGTATTTGTTACTAATTGGCGCTATAAATGTTGGGGACACCTGTAGATCTAATTGGCGTTCGGTATCCTTGATCCTCTGTCTAATTTCTAACTTAGCTCGGTCCCTACCCATCTCCAGCAGCGCTAAGGGAGAATACCCCAAGAGCGAAATTTTCTGCTTAACAGAAATCAGCCAATTTAATTCGAAGGCATCAGTCAGGATCAGGGGCGCTAGACCACACAGCTCATTAGCATATTACGTCACACCCCCATGTTACCAGAAGTGTAGTCATCCAGCCACACCCACCTTTTGCTTGTTATTCTGTTGACCTTGTTTGTGGTCAAAACCCAGGACCTTTTTTTGTAGCAGGAACTCCTTTGCATGTTAGACCACACACCCCTAACATAGCCAATCCTAATGAGTTTCTGATGTTGGGTGTGGCCTATTATGCTAATGAGTTCCTGCTGGGCGTGGCCAATTTGGGAGCCACCCAGAACTCCATTTCTGTGCCCAAAAATAGCCCTGATTACAGGGGATGGGTTGGTGGCTCAGTGGTCCGCAGTGGTATGCAGAAGGTCCCAGGATCAATCCCCAGCATCTCCAGTTAACAGGATCAGGCAGGAGATAATCTGAAAGACCTTAGTTATGACCCTGGAGAGACGCTGCCAGTTTGAGTAGGCAATACAGAACTTGGTGGACCAAGGGTCCGATTCGGTATACGGAATCTTCACGTGTTCATGTTCAACGTGCCCAGATCAGTTGGAAAGTCAGCTACCAATACCGGGAATTGAAGTGGTTGCTCGAATGAGCCACACTAACAACAAAAACCAGCCCCAACGATCGCTGTTCTTTCGTTGTAACGGATGCTAACTGAAACCACATTTCTGAAGTTCCTCTACTAGAACGTTTAAGCAAGAACACTGGAAAAAAGGGGGGAAACCCTTTTAAGTGTGGGTTTTGCTTTTTTTTTTAAATATCCATCCAGCCAAAACCTGGTACTGCTGTATGTAAATGAAACCACGCTACAAGCTATGCATGAGTGACTTCCTCAAACATGGTGGGCAAAGGGAGATTTTCAGATTTTTGATGGAGGAAGGTGAAAAGGATACCAATTAAAGCCTTAAACGGTCCATTTTTTTTTTTAAAGTTGGCTTTTAAAATGGTTGGATATGAATAAATCTCAGTCCAGGAATTTACAAATAAGCACACTCTTAAATGAATTATCTTGGGAACAGAGTGTTTTTCAAGAATGCCAACTAGAGGCAATCTGTAACGATCAGAAATATTTACCGATGGGGGAGAGGAGAGGAGCAACTGTTGGGGAAGGGAACGTGTTCATAAATAAAACATTTTGGCTTTTTGTTTTCTTGAACAGGAAACTCAAACTTTGCCTTGGGAGTTCCACGTTAGACAAAATCTGGAGCCAAAAGCTAGCTCCGGATCCTATCAACTCTGGCCACTGCACTGTTCTTCTTAGGGGAAGGCCTCGGCCTCTGTGCCCTGTTGTTGGCCCTCCAGAGGATCTGGTTGGCCACTGTGTGAGATGAGATGCTGGACTAGATGGACCACTGGTCTGATCCAGCAGGGCTCTTCTGATGTTCTTATGGATGCCTCG